CTTATTCCAACGTTTGGAATGAACGGCATCGGGAAGGTTGTGGCAATCCTCACTGTAGCGATCTAGGAATCCCAAGAACAGATATTTCAAGCTTACAAATTATGTAATGATACCATCAACGTATTAGCGCATTGAAACCGACGCCCAAACACCCCAAGCCATCCTATGTCAAAATGCACACCGCAAGTTATCATTAAAAAAAACACAGCCCTTAACGTTTTGACCTCTTGGAACCCTTCAGACGAGAAGCAGCTGCCTGGAAAGCCTCCTCGGACGGCTCATCCTCAATCGGTCGCTTTTTGCCCTTCTTTCCCCTACTCTCCTTGGCCCCATACTTCTCAGCCAAATGATCCAAGAAACTCTCAGACCTATCCTTTTGTCTCTTTTGGATCAGCACCGCCAGGTCGGCCTCCGAGCTTCCCTTCCCCTTGCCCTTCTTCTTCCCCTTCTTGTCGCCGAAAAGTTTATCATGTACTCCAAGTTCCTTGGCATAGTCCTCAGCTTCCGTGGCTTCTTCTCTAGCCTTCTTCATGCGCCCTTCCCGCTTCTTCTTTGTCTCCTTGGTGTAAGATGGGAAACTGGGCACCTTCTTGCTTTTGATGGCTGTGTTGATGATATCGCGGAATCGCTCGTCGTCCTCTAGTACATCGCTCAACATGACTCTCTCGTAAAGCGCATCCATGTCGCCCTCGCAGTCTTCGTAAGCATCCAGTACATCTCCCTTCTCCTCATCGGATCCCTTGTATGTCTTGGCAAACTTCTCGATGGCATCGCCCGAAACGGATTCCCTAAATTGTTCCCGGTAGTAGTCGCTCCAGTTGAACCCCTCAGAGTCCACGATGGATTCGGAGGTTGAGCCAGTCTCGTCGTATCGTTTGCGCCGAGCGGGGTCTGAAAGGATGGCGTATGCGAACGCGATGGCCTGAAAAGTCTCATGCGCAGCCTCTTTCAGGTCCTGAGCCACCTTGTCTATACAAAAGATTAGTAGACTGCTTCTGTGTTACAATGCAAACTCAACAAACCTGGGTGATGCTTGAGGGCAGCCTTTCGGTAGGCTTGCTTGATCTGATCGCCAGTCGCAGTCTTCTCTAGGTTCAGGACCTCGTAAGGGTCGATGATCGGAGGCTCGCTCTCCAAAACGTCTTCGTGGTCTGACATGCTGACTTTTGGTTGATGATGTATCAGTGGAAATGCGACCTCAGCTCAAGCTCCTCGTTGCTGGTGCGGAAGACGCGTCGCAACGCGCTGAAGAGGTATTGTGGGGCCAATGTTTAAGTGCTTTCGGCCATCGGAGCTTATACCCGCCGACAGGTAGGTAGGCAGGCAGTCAGTCAGTAGTGAAGAAGGTCCAGATGGTTCCCACATCAGGATATCTTGATACAACCACACATTTTCAACATTTCGATATGACTACAATAGAGCCTGGAAATCACAATGCTGCTATGCAGAGGGCTTTGGTCTTGGCTAACAACTCCCCCCCAAAACCAACCAACTTTCGTGTGGGTGCTTTGATTGTGCGTCTAAGCGACAACACCATCATCGCAGAAGGATACACACTGGAACTCCCTGGAAATACGCATGCTGAAGAGACGTGTCTGATGAAGCTTGCTGAACAGCATATGGCCACAGAAGAGAAGCTATCTGAAGTGTTCAATACCCCTCACGCTCTCTACACCACCGTTGAACCATGCTTTAAGCGGCTGAGCGGCAAGCTCCCGTGTGTTGAGAGGGTATTGCGTCAAAAGTCATGGATCACCCACGTCTACGTTGGTGTCCAAGAACCCGAAACTTTTGTGGGAGAGAATACGGGCCGGAAAACACTTGAGGATGCTGGTATCGAGATTCACCATGTTTCAGGCTTGGAGGAAGAGATCCTGAAAGTAGCGACTGCAGGACATGTCAAGGAATAAGGGTTGGGGGTACAAAGGCTTGAGAGACAATTTTGTGCGTTGTATGAATTTGATCAGCGTATCCGTCCATTAATGAGATGAATGGAGTACAGCCTCTTCCGTATGATCTTGCCAGCATGCGAGTGCAAATGATAGCTTAAGACTTGGAAACAGCTACTGAGACTTCATTCTGAGTAGCAGTTTTGTCAACAAAAGCCGCATATGCTACCCAGCAATCTGTATTGGCACGCCCATTGGATGCGGGGCGGCAAAAAACGACCGCGCCATGTCCTACCAGCGTATATTCTGCATCGCGAGCAACTGAAGCTCTTTCTTGTCAAATGGCCTGGCCCGTTGTATCCCCATTCAGCCTGTCCCGCGCAGTCGACATCGTCGCAAGGACAACTCTAGTGAGTTTCCAAGCCGTGACACATCACAAGAGTACCTGAAACTGTACAAAATGTCAACAGCTGTATAGCTATAAGAACATCAACCTTTAATTATATGTGGCAAATGGTGATTTGGGGAGGAAGGTTATGTATAATTTTTTTTTTGGATAGGCGATATATTCTTGAACTTTGTCACTGATTCGATAAGAAAACCTATCACTGCTTAAGTGTTTTGCCTCTCGTATTTCGTGAAGCTTTCTTGTCACTGTTGCTGGTCTCTTCCTTGATGTCCTTAATATCCGTACACGTAACTTGGCACTCCGAACAAAGCGATGATGGAACCATAAGAGTGTGCCATGTGAAGTGTTGGCAGCTGGGCTTGAGGTAGCGATTGAGAACTTGTTCAGGGGGTCCGTTGACAATCCACCAGTCGCAAACGTCCCATGCAATCGTGTCAATTTCGATTCGGCAGACATGACCTTGAGTTATCAGTCTGTGAGTAACGATACCCCTTTTTGGGCATTGCGTACTTCTGCAAGGGCAGATATAAAACCCCCTCTGGCCAGTGCACATGGTAGTTTTGACTCCAACAGGCTTATCTTTGTTTCTGTGAACCCCTGGGTGGTGGCTGCTCGATATGTTTCTATCTGATTGTCTTCTTATTTGTGGTATCGTATCATACGATAGTGTTTAAGTGCAGTTGATAGGACCGATGGTTTGGCGGTCCATTTGCTTCTATATATGCTTGCCTTTAGCACCGAGGTTGTTCTTTTCCTGTCGATTGGTTTCTGATGCGTGCAGGAACGACGGCTCAAGGACTTCCTGGGCGATTGGTGTGAGATCAAGGTATCTGAACATGATGAATGAAGGTCTTTCGGCATCTTTTTATTGAAAGTATGCGGGCCGCCAAGTAGTACTTGAGCCGTGTTGAGTGTACAGCATCGAAATAGGATCGACCAACACAGAATCCCTTGCAGAGGATGGTACACGTTTGCCAAGCCTTACAAACTTAGGTTCCTAAGCAAAAGGGAACGAGAGCCTCATCTCGGTTCTGAGTTTCATGATATCGGACTAGGTTACACAGAGAAAGAGTCCATGTTGGCACTGACTGAGCTCAGTACCAAGCAGCTGATCAGACACTGGGCAAATAGATAGTCAGCGGGGCGAATTGAAGGGGAAATGGTATCCCTTTGTGCGAGGCTATTGTGCATCTGCGACGGGCTGCGGCTGCAGCTGCTCAAGCTCAAACGATTCATGTGTTGTCTGGATATTTGGTTATCCGAACCGGCAGGGCTGGTCTCGCATATAAGAAATCAAGTGGACGGATGCCCGATTGCAGGTGTACCAAGATTCAGTCCAGATCAGACAAACATGAGCCCTATCATGTTGCTCTCGGATAGGCATGGGACCGTTGGCGGGATCTCGTCCAACAATGATGATCTGAAAACATTGAATTTCACGAAGTACGTGGGGGTTAGCTCTTGTGGTCATGGGCTGGGCTGCACTTAACCGTGACGGTTGACTGCCCAGCCCCTTGCGTTCACGATTCACTGCCAAACAATATATGTTTGACAGGTACGTATTTTTGAAAGAAAACTGTATGCTCTTTGCTTTGTTGACCAACAGTCGATGCTATTGTTAATACTGTGGCTGCCGACCCCGCAGGAAGCAAGCACAAACATGCCACCAACGATGAATTAGCGGAAAGGAAAGCTCAGTCCACATGCTCGCGCCCCGTCAGACCATAAGGAAAGTTCCTGTTGCGTCGTAGGAACTGCAGGAACATATTATTCAAGAGAGTTTCTCTGGGTTAACCAGGTTCTTATAGGCTAGGTACCTGTTAATTGCCGGTGGTCATTATCAGGAAGCCTCGTTTATTAGCCTAGTAGGTAACAGAAAAGTTGCCCTCCTAAGTCTTAGGGTACAAAAATAAGTAGTCTAAGAACTATGGCATAAGGAGCATAAACTGACCTGATGGTTTCGTCTCTTATGCTTCCAGCGGTCAAATTTTCTGATACCTGAGGTTAGCCTAGCAAATGTGTCTATTGTCATACTTAGCGCCTAGAAATGGCCAGTTGGAGACGTCACGCCAATCCAGCCTACCTACTACCTCTCAGGAAAGGAGGCATCATTGGGAGGCCGACCATGCTGAGGGTTACGCAACAAAGCCCTTGGGCGCTAAGAAGAAAAGGAAAAGGGAAACAAAGAAGTAAACGACCCCCTTGATTATTTATTTGATAGATGCCACATAGTATCCAGAAACCTCCCCATCTCCAAACAACTTCTAATTCTTACCACGCGTACCATCAAACCAAAGCACTTCCATTTTGCAGTGGGATATTCGCTTGGCTTTGCTCCACCAGGAGGAGCTGACCTAGTACCCAGCGGCCCGCGAAAGTTAGTGCTCCCGACCTTCCCTGGCTAGTTCCTTCCAACTCAATACACCTTCCAACTCCACAAGCTGAGTCTTGGTTCTTTGTCGGAAGCCACGATCGGCTTGCCTGGTGATCAATCATTTCTGATTAAAGGCAGGAACTTCTGACTCTGACAGCAAACAGCCTTTGGTAGTTGTTTTGGCTGTGATAAGATTAAAAGAAACATTCTATCAACAATCGGTTTAAAGTTTTGGAACATAGCAGCTTTACCTTTCGCTATTAAACATATCCTTACACATTGACATCGCCTTTGACCCATACTCTGACCACCCAAACACTCTCTCACCATGGCAGACAGAGGTGATCGAGGTGGGCGCGGAGGCCGTGGCCGTGGTGGGCGCGGCGGCGGTGGCTATCAGGATGGCCGAGGGGGTGGTCGTGGCGGAGGCGGCTACCAAGATTCCCGAGGAGGCGGAGGCGGCGGCGGAGATAGAAGAGGACCAGGCGATGGCGGTTTCCGCGGCGGCAGAGGACGCGGCGAGGGAGGACGTGGAGACTTCCGTGGCGGCTTCAGTGGTCCTAGGGGTGGCCGTGGGGGTCCTGACCGCGGACGAGGAGGCTACAGAGGAGGCCGAGGTGGAGGGCAACCGTCAAATGAGCCGCCTTTCTTCACGCAAGTCCCAGCCAGCAGGTCTGTTGTTGTTTGCTCACGCTAACCTGTCCAGGATCGCATCCGGTGTTCCCCAGCCCGATGTTGCTGTCACCAAGCTCGAGGATGAAGTGGTAAAAAACCAAAACAATTCTGTTGCCCAGCTTACATCGAATATGTCCAAGTTGGGAGTAGACGAAAAGGAGAATTTGGGCAAATTCCCTGCGCGGCCTGCATTTGGGAACAAAGGCCGTCCAGTCATCTTGTGGGCGAACTATTATCAGGTCGAAACCAAAGTCCCTATGCTTTACAAATACACAATTTCTATCAAGGAAATTGTAACCGAATCAGATAAAAAGGTCAACGAGCCCGTCGCCGCCCAGCCTATGGGGAAGGGAAAAGGAAAAGTTAAGCCCGGAAAGCCTAAGAAGTCTGGTTCCCACGAAGTCAAGGGATACAAACTCTTCTTGGTCATCAAAGAGACTCTCAGCGAGCTCACCAAGAAGGACAAGAACCTGGTTCTTGCGACAGAGTTTAAGTCGCAGCTTATTTCCTTGCACAAGCTTGACCTTGGACTTGACAATTCAATCCAAGTAAACCTCGCATCATCAACAAACCCCGGCAAGACCGAAGTCTTTGAGGTGACTTTACATGGCCCTGTCGTCGCTCGGGTTGTCGAGATGTTGAAGTACGTCAAATCGACTACTGATGCTTTGAATGACACCCCAGCCAAACCTATCGACGAAGACGATGCAGCGAAAGCCCTGGCATTCCCAAAATTCCCTGATGCTGTTGATGCCCTGAACGTCATCTTTGGATTTGGCCCAAGGTCAAATGAAGATGTTAGTGCTGTAGGAAACTCCCGGTTCTTTTCTTTCAAGAACGGTGGTATCTACAGAGATATGAGTATGCGAGGGAGGCCCTTACAGGCTGTCCGTGGAACCTTCCAGTCTGTACGACTGGGTACTGGCCGGCTTCTTTTGAACACAAACACTACTGTTGGGATCTTTAAGCTCTCTGGCCAATGTGCAGAAATCTTCGAGAAACTCCATATCCGTCCAGCAGAAAGGACGGATGGCCAGGGGATGAGGAACTTGAGGTTGATGAACAAATTTCTCCCTAAAACCCGCGTATTGGCAAAGATGAAATTCGCCAATGAAAAGGAAGTCAAGCGACGGAAAGCAATTTACGGTCTTGCCTGGGCACCTGAGATTCAACGAGCTTGTCGTGGCAATGAGCATCCTCCCCGATTCACGGGGGGGTATGAATATCCTGGACCAGACAATGTGGAATTCTACCTATCTGACCCCAAAGGGAGCAGTGAATACATCACTGTCAAAGAATTCTACAAGCGGAGTACGTTTTACCCCTGTCACTAAAACTAGCATCTAACACACCCTACCTAGAATACAGAAACAACAATCTCAAGGACTACCCTCTTCTCAATCTTGGCACTGCCGCAAACCCGAATTTCACCCCAGCGGAGTACGTCGAGATCCTGCCAGGACAATCAGTCAAGGCGAAGTTGAATAGCCAAGAATCAACTGCGATGGTCGATTTTGCCTGTCGATCACCTTACGCCAATGCTCTATCTATTACAACAGATGCACGGGAAACTTTGGGTCTTGACGATGAGAAACTGGTATGTATTGCTGTGATATATTTATGGGAAGAAATTAAATGGCCTAGGGTCAATTCGGTATTCAAGTTGGTAAACAACTGCTTACCATCCAGGGACGCGTTCTCAACGCTCCGGGTATCTCCTACTATGGCTCCGGAGCCAAGCCCATCCAGGTTCATCCAAGAGAGGGCAGCTGGAATATGAGAGACATAAAGGTGTACAAGCCCGGCAAGAACATCCAAAACTGGACCTACGTCAACGTCAGACCAGGTAGATATGGTTCTGTTGAGAGGAACACCGTGGATGATTTTGTTCGGGTCATGAAGCAGATGAACATTGGAATCAACAGCACCCCTATACCGGCTCCCACGGAAGTCATCAGCGAAAAAGGGTTCCTCCAGGGGCGTGCAGATGACTTCTTCAAGTGGGCCAAGACTAATCGCATAGGGTTTATACTTGTGATTCTTGGTACATCAGATTCCGAAACATACGGCAGAATCAAGACACTGGGCGACTGCACCTATGGTATTCACACCTGCTGTCTCCAGGGCGACAAAATCCTATCCAACAAAAACCCTATGCAATATTTTGCTAATTGTGCCCTCAAATGGAACCTGAAAGCAGGCGGTGTAAACCACAAACTTCACAACGAGTTCGGCCTCATCAAAGAGGGTAAAACAATGGTGGTAGGGTACGACGTCACTCACCCAACCAACATGCCTTTGGACCAGAGTGATGCTGCCCCCAGTTTAGTCGGCTTGGTGGCCACCATCGACCGAGACATGGGACAATGGCCAGCCTACTCTTGGGAGCAGTCGTCCAAGCAAGAGATGCTGGACGAGACAATGACTGAAGCATTCAAGTCACGCCTGGCACTTTGGCAAATGCACAACAGACAACAGCTGCCTGAGAATATCGTTATATTCCGTGACGGCGTGTCGGAGGGCCAGTTTGCTCAAGTTCTACAGAAAGAGCTTCCACGCATTCGCATCGCCTGCAATACCAAGTACCCCAAGAATAAGCCACCGAAAATCTCTCTAATTGTTTCCGTCAAGCGACATCAGACTCGTTTTTATCCTACTTCTGCCGAGAGCATGACGTCCAAAAACAATATCGAAAATGGCACCATTGTTGATCGTGGTGTTACGCAGGCTCGATACTGGGACTTCTTTCTTACCGCGCATTCCAGTATCAAAGGCACGGCTCGCCCCGCGCACTATACTGTGTTACTGGACGAGGTCTTCCGAGCGAAGTACAGAGCCGAGGCAGCCAATGAACTGGAGAGATATACTCATGAGCTCTGCTACTTGTTCGGCCGAGCCACCAAGGCTGTAAGCATTTGCCCCGCGGCATACTATGCAGACATTGTGTGCACTCGAGCGAGATATCACAGGCCTGAGTTCTTTGAAATCAGCGACGTTGAAAGCATCTCCACAGCTGGACCAGGCTCTAGTACCAGCGGTTCGAAGCAGGTCCATGCAGACCTGGTCAACTCGATGTACTATATTTGAGTATGTCGTGTTATGGAAGATGAGCTCGCTCTTTTGTGCTGCCAACAGAGGTGAGAGGTGAGGGTTTTCATGGGAAGAGTTTCTGTTTATGGGGTGTAGTAGCGATGTTTTTGACCGTCTTTCGCTTGGTTTATTTTATTTTGTCCCCGTCGGCTTTGATTTTGGGCAGGCGAGATAGTATAGCGGAAACAACTTGTAGTTTTATTTCGTAATTGAATTCGCACCATGCACAGCAATAGAAAGATCGATAGCCTAGGAAACAGATGTTATCAATTATTCAATGTGACATTACCACATGCCGCACGTCTATCGGCCTATAATTTTGCGTTTGTGCCCTTGCCTGGGCGAGGTGCAGGTTTACCTATGTACTTTTGGAACTCGTCTGAGACGGTTGTCTTCTCCTCCTTGGACTTGCTCGACCATTCCTCGTAGCTACGCTCATTTACCCACCACCGCTCAAGCTCAGCTTTAATCCAGTCGGCCGCAGCACTGGCACACATGCGGGGATCCTCCATGGGGACCAAGTGGCCGTTGTTCTCTCCGACAACCTTCTTGACCCGACCCTGTGCCTCACCGCCGCTACCACCTACCCCGGTTCCCGTGATAGTCATCTTCTCGTCCTGAAGCTCCAGGGGGGAAACATTACTCTTACCGCCGAATACGTATAGAACGCTGGGTCTAACGTTGGAAAGGCGAGCAACAGTGTTGGGGCCCTCGGGACGGTAGACAGGGTATGTTGACCAACGTCGGTTGAGGCTTGTATCTAGATCGGGGGTATGCTCAGGATGAATAACATGCTTGCCTTGAGGGTCATATGCTGGCCAGCTGGGACGGAGAAAAGTGAAAATCTCTTGGTGCTTTGTCGTGGTCAGAGTTACACTGTCTTGGCCTGGTATATTTCTGATGCCAAAATCTATCCAGCGCTGCAACACACGAGGATCCCACGCTTTGTAGAAGGCGCTGCGACCAAAAGATGCTGCTGCTTCGGCGCGCGAGGGCCAGACTTCGCGACGAACCATACTTGCTGCTGCGGGGCCTGCGCTCGAGGCGCCAGGCGTGGAAGCAAAGTGGGAGATGACAGGGTCAAGAAGGACGAGAGATGTGAAGACACGAGGATGAAGAAGAGCAACATTTGTGAGAGCATTTGCGCCGAAGGAATGACCCATTGCCATTATTGGTGGCGGTGGACGGAAGGTGTTGATCATGTGAAGAATATCACGAGCATAGTCAAGCCAGCTTGCTGTACGAATGTCAGTATGTGTAAGATTGGGTGAGAGGATAGTGAGTTTTACGATCATTGCCGAGTGCGTCTTGGTTGATGAGACCGCTTTGGCCTTGCCATGCTGTATCGGCTATCCATATACTTCGGATGCGGATGTTTCGGCGTTTAGATTCATGGTAGAACTCTTCCCAAAGAGGCTCATATAGTTCCTATGAAGTAGAACAGTCAGTGCGTGCATCTAATGAATAATCACCATGTCGAGCCAATATTACCTTTGGGAAGCCATTGGCGTGTCCACCAATGATTGTGACATCGCCCTTTTGTGGAGATGTGTTATCTTTGGGCGTGTATTGCTTGATATGAAGATATAGCTTCTCATCTTGAGAGTGTGATGTTGCACGAGCGTATTCACGTATATGTGAAGCCTCGATTGTATGTTCTTGGATAGTGAAGGGAAAGGAAGACATGATGACGGCAGCACCTGATGGAATTATGTGTATTCGTATAGTAAATCAGTCAGTCGTATTTTAAGTATGAGTGTGAGATATAATATTTGAAGGTTAGATGATATATCAAGTTGAACGAAAAGAGGTTGAATAGATAACTTGGAGAGACACGACCTCGGTAAGGTGACCACGGGTGGTCAAGTAGTGGAGCACAACGGGAGTTGTGGGGGTGGGGAGAAATACCTCGGCATCAGGGTATCAGAAAAGTTGGCTGCTGGAAGCATAAGAGACGAAATTAGTAGGCCAGTCTATGCTAACTAGGCTATACTTCTTAGACTACTTATTTTTATACCTCAAGATTGAGGAGGCTAACTTTTCTGCTACCCACTAGCTCGGTACCTGGGCCCGGGAAGTGGCTGCCGATCTCTATCTCTCTCTTGCATAATACCGTGAATCCTTGGCCTACCTTAACTAGACCTCACCTCAACTCACCTCACCTCGCCTTATCTCACCTCGCCTTATCTCACCTCGCCTTATCTCACCTCGCCTTATCTAGGTACCTAGGCAATTAAGGCTCAGCTCGAAGCTAGGCAGAGACAAGGTTTTGGCGCCATCATGAAATGCTTTAGATAGGCTTCTCTTCAGATTCTCCAGGCGTGACGCGACAGTCATGGCACCGAGGCTGCTCCTATTCGCAGGCGCACCGCCATCTTCATCCCTAAACTCAGAATCTTGCACAATAACTCGAATCGACGACTCATTTGCCGAGTTCCTGGGGTTGGCCTCTCAGAAGCCAACTCAGAAGCCATTATCGAATATCGCACCATGGCGTTCTCTCCCACTGAATAGAAAACCTCTTCACACAGGGTTCAGTCAAACTCACGATGTCAGCGTCAACCTCGTTAACCAATCCGAGTTTTTTACCACAGCTGAAGTCTCGTTTAAAGAACAATCGCAGTCTTTTGAGGGTGGTGGTGATGCCGAGACGACGTTGTCGCAGTTCTATGATCAGTCTTTAGCTTTGCATAATCCAGTCCCTTCATCCCAGCTTGACAGTTTCCAAGAAACGACTTTTGAGGAGACTTCTTTTGAGGGAACTTCATTCATGACTACTCTTGCTGTAGAACGGGTTGATGCGACAGAGTCTGTACCGTCATATCTTTCCGATTTGGAGGACATACCACCTGCACCGAAAATATTGGCCCTGCACCCCCAGACTATCACGCTTAATATCATTGCTGGGATAATATCCATCGCCCAGCCGCGGACAGTCACCACGCGCTGGGGCCGCACCCTCTCCCTCATCGAGATTCTACTCGGAGACGAAACAAAGACAGGTTTCGCTGTCACATTTTGGCTTGAAGAGTCAAACGCTGCCTGCGCTGAGATTAGCTCTCTCCGGCGTCAAGATATTGTACTCATGCAGAATGTGGCTTTGCATGTGTTCCAAAATAAAGTATATGGCCAGAGTTTGCGCAGGGGCATGACCAAGGTGAGTTTGTTGTGGAGGCGGGACGGGTCCGGCCTCTACTCTACCAGAGACTTATCAAAACGCGGTCAGATGCATCCGCAGTTACAAAAGGCAAAAAAGGTGAAAGATTGGGTGCTTAGGTTCGTGGGAGCTGCTGCTGGAGTAAAGACAAGGGCATCAAGGGCGCGGCTTTCATGGGACAGACCACCAGATGATACACAGTGAGCAAAATGCAAGCAATATAGGACAACTTTTCATTAGGTACCTGACCATTCTATCGTCATTATTATTACCAGCGCCAAATGCAACCGAGAGAAGAGAGATGCCTAGGGGTATCCATGCCAAAATCAATCCGTAGACAACACACCAACTACAGCTTATACAGGCACGGCGGGTTCATGCTTTCTGTCCTCGCCATTGGGCCCCTTCTTGACTGACTTCCATTGGAAGAACAAACAAGAAATCAGCGCACAGGCAGCGCAGGCAAGGGAAATGTAGAAGGTGTCACGGAGACCCTTCATGTATGCGTCCAAAACAGTATCCAGAGCATCCAGACGGCCCATCTTTCTCAAAGTGTCCTCAATCTCTGAAGCTCCACTGTTGAGGAAAATCGTAGGATCAATGCCAATGTTGTCAGCCTTGATTGTATCGATGAGGCCGTTCTGGAAGACAGTCTGAGAGACAGCAATGAAGATGGCACCACCAAAGGCTTGCGCAAACTGCACACAAGCAGTACCGACGGGGACCCATTCCTGGGGAAGTACAGTCTGTACAATAAGGACACCTATTTGGAAACCTGCGCCAATACCTAGTCCAGCGAGAACCTGGTAGCCGAACCACTCTTTGAGAGGGGAGTTGACGTCAAGAGTGGTGAGCATGCCGCAGCCGACAGTGTAGAGGACCATGCATGGGATGATGACATAGTTGTAGGTGCCAATGGCAGTGATGACACCTCCTGAGACGATGGAGCAAAGGACCGTAGCCAGGAGGAGAGGGAGAATCTTGATTCCAGCTTGGACGGCGCTAACACCCTGAATAGCTTGGAAGTAGAGGGCTGCAGGAGGGTCAATTAAAGTGGGTGGTAGATTCATGCCGTTTGACTTACAGAGGTAGTAGATGAGAGGAAAGAATCCAGCGCCGAAGAACATGGCAAAGGACATAGCAGCCAGGGTGTTTCGGTTCTTGAAGAGACGAGGGGGGAGGGTGCCTTGGTCGCCTTTCCAGAATTGGATGCCGATAAAGATGGCAATCATGGCGCCAAACCCACAGAAGAGACCAATGATGCGTGAGTTGCTCCAAGCATAATCGGCACCTCCCCATTGCAAGGCAAGAAGAAGACAGACAATAGCAGGGATGAAGATGGCGGCGCCAGCGAGGTCGAGCTTGCGGATGCGGTCCATGAAAGTCAAGTTGACGCTGTCGGAGGTGTTTCGGTTGACGTGGACGAAGAAGAAGACGATGATCATGGCTATACCACCAATGGGAAGGTTGATATAGAAACACCAACGCCAGGTAGCATGTTCGGTGAAGGCACCTCCAAGAAGAGGGCCAGCAACGGAAGCAATACCCCACATGCCACCGATGAGACCAAAGGCAAGAGGACGCTTCTCAAGGGGCACTAGGGAATATTAGTTGGATTCATGGGAGGGTCTTAAAGTTTGACATACTGATGAGAGAGAGGATGACGATAGAGCCAGAGAAGAGACCAGCCGTTCCAATCTGAAGAGCCAGTCAGCAAAGAGTCATAGCAAATAAGGGGGCGAGGGACGACATACTCCGGCAATAGCTCGTCCAACAATAAAGGCAACAGAAGAGGGCGCAACAGCAGAGATCAAGCTACCAATCTCAAAGATAAAGACAGCACCTAGATAGGCAATCTTGACATTGAAATACTTGTAGATGGTTCCGTACATGGGCTGCAAAGCCGTGGTGGTAAGAAGGTAAGATGAGCCATACCATCCAATATCCTTGACACTCTGGAACTGGGCTGTGATGGCGCCGAGAGCGGGCGCGATGATGGTCTGGTCCAGCGCAACGAGGAAGATGGCGAGACAGAGTGATGAAATGATGAGGGTGAGCTTTGCAGCGCCGGGGTACTGAGGTTCTTGCTCAGCAGAGTTACCGTTGATGGAACCAGAGCGAGAGGCAGAGCCATCCTGGGGATCTTTGTTATCGGTAGTTGTATCCATGATGTTGTTGGAGCCGACTTCAGTTTTTTCATCAGATGAGAGACGAGTCTCCTGGACCATGGCATTTATTGGTGCCGTAGCGGGTGTAGTAGTCGCCATTGGTAGAGCTGCTCTCTGCTTGAAGGTTTCTTGTTGTGGAAGAAAAGGAGGAGGAAGAAAAAGAAGAAGAAGGGATATTCTAGGTTATGTATCCGTATCCTTTTAAGTATGTAATAGCGTCAAAGTCGGTCTCAGTTCGGCCCCAGCAACCAAAGCTGTGCGTATGTTTCGGGAAGGAAAGGGAGAAGCTCTTTATTATAGACGAATGTTTGCTTTTCTCGTTTGGAGGGAAACACAATCAATTGCCTGTTAGTAGATTGTGTGAAAAGGCGAGAACACGAATGACGAGTGACGAGAAGAGAATAAAGGGAAGATGGATGGATGAGCTAAAGATTTAAGTAATAAATATGTCTGTCACCGGCTTCGCTTTATTGTTTCACTGCATCTCCTCATCCAAGTTAGCCCGTCAAGAATGGACAAATCTTAAAATCCGAAAAATGAACGAAAAAATAATAATAAGAGATATCCGAGCATCAAGCAAAAACGTCATGGAGACACGGCAAGGTATTCGTCCGTATGTCGAATCACAACCAGTAAACATCTTGTCTCAAGCGGCTGAAAGCAGAGCGTGCCCCCTGAGACGGTAATCATAATTAGTCCAGAAACCAGTAACAAGAGAAAAAGTCTCCAGTAAATTCGGGCTGATACGATAGGCGAGTTTCTGCAACTGTCATATCCATGCGTGGGTCGGACAATTCACCAAGGCCGATGTCCGAATGGCTTGAGCCAAAATTAAAGTCAGTCTTTGGAAGAGTCATTGATTTGATTTGAATCACTCTTACTTGTTTGAGTTCTCTCATCCTTGCTTGCTCTTCTATCGATGCTGTCCAAAGGGACTATATTAGTATCAGCATCATAAATGTAACCTTGACTGTGAGTGAGTATGGAATATTCGTACAATTCCTTTTCTTTCTAATAAATGAATTCTCCACTAAACGTCAAATTCGATCTTCAAGCCCCTGGTCCATCAGCCTGCATCCCAGGCTAAGGCTCTGACATCAGAACCTCGGTCTAGACCATTCGATCACCGCACTGACTGATTTTCGGATTCAACGCGTTTCTCCGATTATCTTATCTCCGCATTCTGTCAGCACGCTCTTGGTTGAATGCCGACGACCGAAGAGACAAAGGAATGCTGCCATATCAGCTCTATCATAATCTATCCGGTATTTGATGTTGTTGTTGAAACTTCACGCACGTTTACACCGTTACACACACTCGTAACGCCTATGCATTACCCGTTGATGTTGTAAAACCTTGTCATTCATTTCCTTTAATGACATTGGTACAGTGTCTTGTCATACATAATTTCCACATGCTATTGTACCGGCAACTAACTTTACTCAATCAAGATGCACGTTAAACCCAGCATTAACGTCATTTTGTACCATTTTCTCGTGATAACTTCATTTGTAATTTACTATTTATAACTCGCCCAAACAGCCTCTCTAAATATATAACAATCATCATCCCAGGCACCATGCTATCCGAATGCTAATCATCACTGCTCCTCCGACTTCACATCGTCGTCTTCCTTTTCCCCTTTCTTCTCCTCTCCTGGCACCCACAACAATAACCCATCCTCATCAATCTTCATCCCCTCTGTCGGTATTATACGAAGTACCTTTTGGAAATACTTGTCTCGCACCGTCAACTTGGGTCTTATCCAAACTCCACTAACATGTGATAGCAGCCGATAAGTTGTCGTCCGTCTTGATTGTGGCAGCAAGTTGAGTGTTGTCTGTTTCGCACCAGAAAACGCAAAATCTTCGCTCGGTTCCATGCCGAGACCAAACGTGAGGAAATGATTCGATGGATTCTCGACTGTCATGTCCAGCTGCAGCAACCCTGGCATATCATCTTCTACCTTGGGGGCGTGGTACACAGATGCCAGCACTCGCGGCTCTGTGCCCAGGACAAGGTATTTACCGACTGGCATTACTGTCGTGTTAACTGGTCCATCGCCACGGCCCTGGCGCTGCCATCGGATAACAAAGGCCAGCTCGACAGTGACGGGGTGTCGATCCTCCATCGTGAGCTTCTGAGCTACCAAATCAAACTGTGCCTCGTGCATCGTCTTGGGTGTAACGACTACCCCTTCGTGTGACACATTTGGTGCCTGAGTTACGCTGCATCGTGCACCACCGACACACGATACCACATTTAGATCCATCCCAAGCACTTTCAGATCTTCTTGGGCGAATGATGCGTAGTGACATAGTAGGCACCACTTTTGCGCAAAGCCTCTAGCTGCACCTTCTTCTGTATCTCCGAGCCCTTCGGAATCGAAAAGACTTGGCCATGGCCCAGGGTGAAGGCGTGGGACTAAATCGTAATTCGCTTCAAACGCGTTCACAACGTTGAGCTGGACTGTCAACATCTGCATAATCGGGGTTGCAACATCCGAGTCTAGATGGTACGACGTCCTCAGGTGCAGATCAAGCGTCGTAGGAGCCGACGGGGCGTCAATATGCAACAACACCTTAACTGATGACGTACTCTTGATCGCACCTAATGCCAGTCCCGAGATCTTGGACTCTTCCGTTGACGCTTCGGCGCTACCTCCATTTCCGTCTACTTCCACCGTAACTGCAGGTACTTCCTTTCCAAATAGATGAATGTCCAATTTGGCAGTAGCGGATTCATCCTCAGCATTGAGTATCTCAACCTCCAAGTCGATTGCCTCGTTTGCATGGTACTGAGCGAGGGGCTCCAAGAGTTTAATCTGCATCTTGGGCGGTCGGGGCTGAATTTGTATAGTGCCCGCTTCCGGGCGAGTGCTCCTAGGCCTCGATGAACCCTGAACGTACCAGCCAACAACGGGGTCTGTAGGGCGGATATTTAGTTTATAGTCGAGGTCGAAGTTGTCGTTGCTGTGGAAGACTGTGACAGACGCTGCTGTCGCAGTGCCTGGCTCTCTTAGTGGTATGTTCATCT